AAGATTTCAAGTTCTCTGGCCTTAAATTTGATCAATTTCAATTGTTAGCGCTTTAAATTTGAGAATTTGATTGAATCTGTTGAGTTGTGGATGTTGATGCAATTTGTGGATTGAATTTGGCTTGAGAAGTGTTGAGTTTGATTTGTTTGTTGTTGAGGAAGTTGGGTTTTCGATTTTGAAGTGGTTTGATTGAGTTTGGAAGAGTGGTGATTTGGGGGTGTAGGTGCTATTTTTGAAACCTTGGTGTGAATTTAGGAGTGATTGTGGTTTGTAGAAAGGGTACTTTAGCGTTGAATTGTCAAGTTGAATTTTTAGTTTGGGGGTAGATTTGATTGATCACTATTGAAAACCAAAATGCCGCTCAAAAAGGCTGCCAGGGGTAAAGGAAAATAGGTAGACAATAGGTTTGTAAATGAGAAGGCTAGGCAGCGTTATGAAGGTGCAATTAAATGAAAAGATAAAGGGTTTATTACCGAGAGAGGTTTGACCACAATCCATAGAAAAGATTGGAATCGAGGGAGAAATTGGGATATCTTTATGCATGAACCAAAGCATTTAGCCATAGAGCCAATAGTCAGAGAATTTTATGCTAACTTCCCTGAGTGTGATCCCGAGCATGTTTATGTGAGAGGTATCAATGTGCCAATCGATGTGACGATCATCAATGATTTCTACAAACTTGATCCAATTGATCGTGATGAGTACCAAGAATTTAAGAAGAAGCAGATCAAGGAGGAGCAGATTCTTAAGGTCATAACAAAGCTGGGTACCTCTTGGGATATTTCGAAGAAGCGGAGAAGAAGCATTAAAGGAATGAATTTGATTCCTATGGCTAGATTGTGGCAGTATTTTGTTTGTGCGCAGATGATCCGGGAGACACATTATAGTACAGTGGTTTTTGAGCGAGTAGTATTACTTTATTCCATTGCCACTGGAAAGAAAATGGATGTGGGAAATATAATCATGGAGAGTATACGGCATGCAGCCAAACCAGGGCGAGGGAGCTTTGCCTTCCCACATCTCATCACTAAGCTGTGCACTCAAATAGGAGTCAAGAAGGCGAATGATGAACCACTTATCCATCCTGCCCTAGCCCTTGATTCCAACTATTATTTCAAGCTACTCGAGCGTCCTCCTAGAGAAGGACCCAGCTCCGGATCGAAACGAAAAAGAACCACAATAGCTGCCACAACATCCAGTTCAACATCCTCGACAAGGGAGCTGCTACAGCAAATTTTGGACAAGGTGAACTGGATGGAACGATGTCAAGATTGGATGGCAGGGCAGACCTGAATGCTGTATGAGATGCAATACAACTGCTGCAGCAATCTGGGTGTTGATGTTTCAAACTTCCAATGGCAAGACTGGCAAGAAGAGGAAGAAGATGATTCCATGGAAGAAGATGATGACGCTGAAGGAGAAGAGGAAGACGAAGAATGAAGCTTGAAACACTTGTTTTGTATTTTCTATTTTCAATTGTTCTTGTTTCTGTTTTGTATGCTGGAAATAATTTTCTTTTCTTTTTAGATTGTTAATTGTTGTTGAATTTTCTAGTTAGTTTGTAAGGGCGAGATTAGGTTGTAATATTTTTATATTATTCAGTGGACACCATAGAATTTCATTTGTTTTACGGATGATGATGATGAGGAAGCCAAGGAATGGGTGTGCATGCTGTCGAACAAAAATCGGACTTCACAGATTAATCAAGGAACTATCTCGTACCTTTTTAATTTTGTTTTCTATTCCTCGAATGTGCATGATGTGACATTGGGGACAATGTCATTTTTAGTTTGGGGGTAGGAAAATTTGAATTTTTTTTTTTTTTTTTGTGTTTATTTGTTTTTATGTTTCGTATTGTTGTGCCAGTGATGAATTGCATAAGTCTATGATGAGAATATTTTTTGAATTGTTGGGATTTTATTTATGGAAAATGTTAAGCATTGCTTCAAGTTTAGGTTGGTTGATGAATTTTTCTTTTCTAGAGGTTTGTTGAGTGGTTCAACCACCATTTTCATTATTCCGGCATGCTTAGAAACATTTTATGTGGTTAGGTGAAGTCTTGATAATGTTAGTAGACTCTAGAACCTAGTTGAGAAGTACTTGAGGAGAAATTCTAGGAATAGACATTATTGAGGAAGTGATTTAGGCAGTTTTTCAAAACATTTGAGCCTTTCCAACTGACCATGAAGGTTTTTCCCTAGTCACCCATTTGAGCCTTATGAAATCATCACTATCCTATTCTTCCTGTGCAACTAAAAATGCCCAAACATTTCACCCTAAACACGTGTCACAACCTTTAAGAGAATTTTGAACCTAAGGCAGACACAAAAGAGTTTAGAGAGTTGTGGAGATTTTGACAAACCAAAATAACAAGTTTGGGGGTCGCAAGAAGGGCAAGAAGAAGGGGTAATTGACCTCAATAAATTGATGTTGTTTAAAAAAAAAAAAAAAAAAAGAAATAGAAATTGAGAGTTTCATCTCAGAATAAAAAAATAAAAAATAAAATAAGAATTGCACATGTTGAGGTTTATAAAATGGTTGACACCTTGATCTATGGTTGAGAAAGAAAACGAAGATTGATGTCGTTCTTAGTGTTTGCTTAAAGGAAACTGAGTTCTCTTGCTTTGTTTATCTTATCCTTTTCTTTGGAGCCCACTAATCGAGCCTAATGTTACAAGCCTGTAAAGACCTTTTGATCCTTAGTGATGTCTAGTCCACATTAGTGGAGAGTAGTTCGATACTTAGGCTTATGGAGTCGACCACCATTTGCTAAACTTTACATTTCTGCATAAAATAATCCGAGAAGTCGGAAGGTGGACTAAAGTGGGGATTGCCTACTCAGGAGGCCGATAGAGAAAAAAAGTCAATCAACTTATAACTTCTTGGAGTGTTAAGCATTTTCCAGTAATAATGTTTCAACAATTTTTTAGACTTGTATAAATTCTAGGCAGTTCTTTGTGTTTGATTTTGAGCTTAATTTCTCTCATTTCATTTTCAATTTTGTTGTCTTTTTCTGTGTGTTAGATGTTTTCTTTTAGTCGTATTTCATACTTGATGCTCGGGGACGAGCATGTCTTAAGTTTGGGGGTATTTGATAATCCTAGGATTATACTGTTTTATCTAGGCTTTTTGACCAGATTTTGGATACTTCTTATTTCATTTGTGCCTGAATTACAACTTAATTGCATATATTTTATGTTTCAGGCCGAAACGTGCAATTAGAGCAAATAATGAGAGGAATTGAGTTTCTGGACCCAGAAGCAAGCGAATCTCAGGATTCGGGGGAGTTCTGAAGCAGATTTGAAGCACTATGAAGCTTGTTCCTATTGGAGAGCACCAAAGATTGAAGATTCAAGCAAGGAAGCAAGCAGAGGGCAGTTCCATAATTTTAGAATTGTGCAGAAAAGTTTGCCGTGGCGAAGTTCATTCTTCACCGCAGTGAAGTGATAAACACTCGGGATAGATTAACAATTTTAAACCAATTCATTGCCACGGTGAAGTCTGCAAGATTAGTTTTTCAAAACTGTACGTTTTAATTTAAGAGAAAGTTTTAGGTTAGTTTTGGACCAACTATATAAAGAAAACTTAGTCTTTTTATTAGGGAGTTTGACATTTTTGGAGAGAAAGAAGAGAAGATTGAAGATTGAACTCTTTGGATTCATCAAATAGGGAAAATTTTGTTCTCTTTTCTTAATTCCAACATGTTGAATGCATTGTTTACTGTTTTTATTTCTATTTGTGTTAATTTTAGTATGAACTAACTTGTTTTGGGTTAGGGTTTTTATGTTTAATCAATAAATTGATGTTGCTTTTACATTCTATTGCATGGATTGAGTTATTATTCTTGTTCTGATTGAATTTACTTGTTGAGCATGATGAGACTGAGAAGTGAATCATGTATTAGCTTGTTAAGGTAATTGCCATTGTTATATTGAACGCTAGAGATAGGTTTGAGAATCAATGAAATCAATTTAGGATTCCATTTAGTTTAACGAACTTGGAACTATTAACCTTCAATTTGTTGGGTGGGGAAGCTTAATAGGGGAAAGTAGGAAAACATAGCCTGAGAAGGTATGTTCTACACATTACGGAATCCGATTTATAATCTATGCATGTGAGTGTAGAAGTAGCATAATTCGTAGATTAATTCATGAAATCCTAGTGAAGTCAAAACCCTAACCGTTTGTTTTAATTGATTTTTCTCTTGAATTAACCTTGTTGTCTTTAATTAGTTTTTAAGTATGTAGTAATTTTTGTTTTCACTTTAGCTTAAATTTCTCCCGCAAATCCAAACAGCTTTTGGTTTCTCCAACTTGATAAACAACAGGCAAAATCAGTGCTTAACAAACAATCCTCGTGGGAACGATACTCTACTTATCACTTTATTACTTTTTTGCGACTAGTGCACTTGCTACACATTGCATGTTGTAATTTCAACGCATCAGCAAGTAATTTCAATATTAAGCTATTAGCACACTATATCGATAGCAATATCTTTTCATATATAGATATGACTTCTATATGTCCATAGAAAATAATCTTTTTATTTAGTTACGAATTTAGTGGTCACATAGCTAAAATGTTAATATATTTGCCATGGATATTATTTTTGTAGCAAAAATTTTCAAGTTTTAATTATAAATTTATATTTGTGTAGCTAAACTACAAACACAGCTATACAAACTATTCTCTATGTCTATAAAGGCAAAGCTTTTACTAAAATCTTATTATTGTTTTGACATAAACATTTAAGTTTTTAGTTACATATTAATCTCATCCATAGCAAAAAACATAAATTGTTAGCTACGTAAGCAAAAAGTTACATAGCTAACTTTTAGTTGCGCCACTTTTAGCTACGATAAGCTACAAAACATTGTATTTATAGCTAAACCATTTAGCTATGCAAATTCATATATTTAGCTAAAAATGAATGCCATGGCTAGAAATGCACAATGTTATAGTGAATCTATCTTTCACCATAGCTTTAAGTCATGTTTGCATTCATGAAGACTTCTCAATGCAATGAAAGTTATTGCAAAAGGGGTTACACCGAGGCATACAATTTCTCTTCAACCCTGTTCAAGTGATAGATAGTAGATGTTTGTAAATTAATAAAAAGAAATATATTATGCTATGATATGAATTAACAAGAAAATGAGCCAAAGATATATTACCTATCTTTTCCTCAACCAAGCAACAAAACTGCATGATTATACACAAACTTCGTCACTTTAGATGCACGTTTGGCAAGATCAACCATAGGATCCATCTCAGCTATATCTTTTAAAATCAAATTTATGCAATCTGTTGCACAAGGCAATGAAGTAATACTCTTATAGTTCTCAGACAATAGTCTTCCAGCAATCTTATAATTTGCTCTATTGTCAGTGACAGCATGGACAATATTATTAGGTTCAACCCATAAAACCATTTCCTCAAACAATTTGAACAATTTAAAGGCATCCTTTACACATCTAAAGCATCCACTAATTTAAGAAAGCAAACTCCTTTAGGACAGTAGACAAGAAAATTAATCAGTAACCTATGTGAGGTATCAGTCCAACCATCAGCCATTAAGGTACGTCCAACCTATTCCCAAGTATTTCTGTAACAGTCCAGCTAGTAACTGCATTCCTTCTTAGCATCCCTCAAATAATTTATATGCATAACATCATAATTTGGATGTTATACCCCTGACCATTGTAGCTATGGCATCCAACAAAACCTGGAGATAAATCGAATCACAGCATTCATTAGGAGCAAGATCAAAAGAACCTAGAAAAGTCATGTCTGCTCTCCATTTAGCTCTTTTTTCACCAAAACACCCTAATGAGGGCTGAGACCCAGTAGTAGTATGTGGAGCAAAATAATCACCAATCCCAACCGTCTATTTTCTTAGTGTTTGGACTTTGGACATTGTTTTTTATAGCCTGAATCACCTTCATTAATGGTAATTTCTGATGGAGGGACCTCTTCACAAGCTTCACCAATCATGTCATCATATAAAACCCATGCACACAGATCATAAGGATTTGCATGCTTACAAAAACAAAAAGTGCTATATATATATATATATATATATACTATATATATATATATATATATATATATATAAGGCAACTTTTTATATATACGACATGCATTTTCCTCCTTTTAGTTCCTTGTTGTTTCTTCAAAAACGAATTTAAATTTGATCTAAACAAGTAAAATATATTATCATATTTAACAAGGACACATACATTAAAATACTAATTTTATTTTTAAGATGTTTACCACCCACAAATAACTCCAACACTTTATTTAAAAAAACAAAACAAAACAAAACAAAAACATTGTTTAGATTTACTTCTTTAGATTTTATTAAAATTCAAACCCCCTTACCTTTCAAATAAAAAACCAAACGGTACTTAAAAAGATATATAGCACCGTCAATAAGAAAGCCTTGATACAAAAAACTAATGATACAAAATCATCCATAAATTCCCAGAAAAGGTTGTATACTTGTATGGAAAATGTAAAACCACAAACTAATGGAGTCCATCAGAAGCAAACTATGATTAGTTGATTATTTTCAAAACTCTCAAGCTTTGATGAGAATTAGTGAATATGAATGACAGTTGACCTTTGTTACAGTATGCAAAGCGTAACTAGAAAATAGAAGTACAAAAAGTTATTTGCTCTCTCTTTCTGAAGTTGGAACTAAAACATGCATTGAAACCTTCTCTTGTGAGGTTAACCTAACAAACGAACCAATCTTGCAATTTTTAAAAACAGAACCTAGTAACACCCAACTCTACAATCTACTTCGAAGCATCACCAATCACCAATGCCAAAAGACAAGAGCTAACAACACACCAACAACTTCACAAAGAATACGAACTAAAAAGCTGAATAAATTCCAAAGAAACCATAAACAAATCCCAGAAGAACATCAACAGCAGCCTTCCAACCCAGAACTTCTATGAACTCCAAACTAAGTTCCAACAATAGCCAACCCAAATGGCAATAAACCTAGTAAAAAGAAGATGGAGAATAGACCAGACTAGAGCCGAGAGATTCCAAACCCAAGGCCTTGCCCCACGACTAACACAACTCCAGGAAACCCAATCACCAACCTAAAAAAACAAACCCAACACCCAAAAAAAAGCCAACCCCACACCCATGAGGAAAGAACCCAGACCACCAGAAAAACCAAACTGACATCCAATAGAGGAACCCCCACAGCAATATCCAAAACCAATCTCCCCTAACCACCCATACCCAACCCCAACACAAGACCACAAAAAACCCAGCAAGTAGCAAAAGCATAAAAGATAAAAACTAATTTAATCGCAAGTTCACAAAAAGAGAAAAAACCTTCGACAGTGGAGTCTTGAAGAGATCGAAAGCTACAAAAGATTTATGCGATTGAGTGGTTTCTTCAATAGATTTGTGAGTGATTCGATCGATTTGGGTGAGAAGAGAGAAGAACTAGTGAAGTTTCGATCAATTTGTACAAGAAGAGTGAAGGTTGCAAAGAAGAGATTGAAGATTTGTGCGAAATCGCTGAAATGAGAATAAATTTTGGCTTAAAAATCCTAAACCAATTTATTATATAAGTGATCCGGTTCGGGGTCCAAACCGATCCAACCGGCGGGTTGGCACTATTTAACCGATCCAAAGCCAGGTTAAAGTGAGTTTATTGGAAAATCCGAGTTTAATTAGGAATCAGACTGATGGAAGGCCCAAGTCTCGATCTAGGTCGGGGCCCGGTCTACGTCGGGTTCTGAATCATTGTAAAACACATCACATCACATCACCTACAAAACAAACAACCCTTGCAATGACTAAAACAAAACCAATCATCCCACAGCATGCCAAGCGTCTAAATGGTTTATCCTGAGAGATCCAATTCAAACATTTTCCATTTTCGTTTCGCAAAGATCTTGAGGTTTATCATCACAATGGTAGTAGGGCAAGGTAGGAGAAGATAAAAGTATTTTAATATGGGAAAGTTTGTAGAGAAGCTTTTGATCCTTTGAGGTGGAGAGGGAAGTTTCACATGGTTATTGTGAAGCGGCTTAAATTTTTTCTTTGTTTTTTTTGTATTGTGCTTTTTTTTTTTTCTTTTTGAAATTTTGTTTCTAGAGTTTATTGGCACTTTCATATTCCCTTGCTACCTCCAAAAATTATTTGATTTTAATATTATTATTAAACGTTAAATTATTTATGAAAAGGAAAATGAAGCATCGGCTTTAGAGTTGGCTCAGGCATGACTGACTCAACCCAAAGCCACAACCGTTAAAACATCATTGCTATTTCTTAAGAAGTTATCTATGAACAGTTATACCGTGAGCTTTCTTATATTTTAAAATCGAACAGTTAACAAAAAACCAACTCCAAGTATGAACCAAAACCATGAAAGACAAAAGCATATGAGAGTTACAAGAAGCTTGAGAAGAAATTGAAACTTTCATGTATCCCTCATTCTTCCCTTTTTCTGCTAGTGTTTTTCTTTACAAGGACTTTGGTAATTGAATTTGATCCCATTTCTTTCCCGCCCCTTCTCTTTTACTCTAAGGTGTCTAAGGAGTGTTTAAAGGATGAATTGGTCAAGGCTAAAGGTTCGAATAAGAAGAACTTTGTCTTAGTAAAGTGGTCGAAAATCAAAGAGGATCAAATGTTTATGATAACAACTCATTGTATGAGGAGTGGAAGTTAATTTGGGTGGCTCGCGATGCTATTTTTGAGCCAGCCAGAAAGGTTATGGAAGAGGACTCCCCATTGGAGAAAAGTAAGAATGTTGTAGAAAAAGATGTTGATGGAGGCATCAATCCTTTGAAAGGAATTGGTGTAAAAGAGAATAAGTTGTTGATGGAATCCAAGATTGACAAGTTTAAGGTTAATATGAAGACTCTCGATGGTATGGATAGTATGGCAGTTGGTTCATTTGTTCCCTTAAAGGGAAGTAGTTCAAATGAGGTGTTTGGAAGCATTGTCCTTAAGACCGTGAATGAAGAGAAGAGTAGAGAGTGGAAAAGCCTTCTTTATTCCAAGAGAGCCATTGCATCCCTAAAGTATATTAAGCCTTAGTTGAGTAAAGTTGAGTCTAATATTAGGAGTCTAATATTAGAATATCACCTCCTAGTGAAGCTGCGACTTTGGAAGTAGATAAATGGAGCAATTGCCTTGTGGATTTTTTCCTTAGTAAGAAGATGTCTTTCGTCTAGGTTAAAAACTTTGCAGATAAAAAACTAGAAATGGTTTGCAGATGTTGTGGTTGTTTCTTATGGGCAAGGGCCAAGGGGAATACACTCTTACGTTTGCGGATGAGGCTACCAAAGATGAAGTGTTGGAAAGTGGTCCTTGGTTCTTTGGAGGCTAACCCTTTTCTTAAAGAAATGGAGTCCTAACTTGAGTGCAGGCATGAATGGAGTTACTAGGGTTCCCATTTGGGCGAAATTTTAGGTATCCCTCTTGAAGTTTAGACTTCCACAGGGTTAAGCCATATAGCTAGTGTTGTTAAAGTGCCCATTTACATGGACAACGTAACTAAGCTAGGAGATAGGCCGGAATTCGCTAAGGTGTGCTTGGAAATTTACTTCCTCGAAATTTAGGGATTCGTTTGAGCTAGAATTTCCTAATTGTGAGATTGCTTATATAAAGGTGGAGTATGCTTGGAAACCCATCACTTGCTCTTGGTGCAAGACCTTTAGGCATATCCAAAGGAATTGTCCCGTAGCTCTTAAGAAATCCGACCTCGTGTTTACTAAGAAAAATCCTACTCCTTAACCCCAAGAATGGAGGCAAGTCTCTTCAAGGGAAAACTAAACTATTACTTTAGAAGGGAAATGAGAGAGTGCTAAGGAAAATGGGAAACCCGAGGCGAGTGCACCAAAGGAGAGTGTGAACCATTTTGCAGTTTTGCACACCCGAATGACGACACAAGTTGGCAAACTAAGATTTTAGAGAATGTGGGAGATGTGATTGAGGATGAGGATCTTAATGTTGTTATGAGTGTTATGCCTCAAATGGAACCACCACCGCCTAAGACCCCTATTGCATTGGGTTGTTTGGAGGTAAAGGAGATGGAATGTATTTCTCCTCGTGTGGCCCTGTTTGGGAACTTGAGGAAAGTGGACGAAAAAGATGGGAAAGAGAAAGAGTTGGTTGAACTAACAAGAAGCCAAAAGAAGAGGCTTGCAAGGAAGGGAAGGATTCCACCCAACCTTATCACCAATCATGATTAAGTTTGTCGCAAAGAACGTTTAGGGTCTCAACACCCAGCCAAAGCAAAAAGAGGTTAATCATTTAATCTTTATTTGTGTGCTGTTTTGGAGACAAGGGTGAGAGAGAACAATAGAGATAGAGTGAAGAGCTTAGTTTTCAACAAGTAGTCCATGGTGGATAATTATCTTGCTTATGAAAGGGGTAGCATTTGGTGGGATGGGATGCTGAAGCGGTGAAGGTTGATGTCCTCTCTAGTTCAACCCAATCTATCCATTATCTTGTTGAGGTGTTGGCTACTAAGTGTAAGTTTAAGTGTTCTTTTGTTTATGACCTTAATAGCCCGAGGGAGACGAGGAATCTTTGGTAAGAGTTAAAGGATAGTTCTTATATTTTTGGTTGAGAACCTTGGGTCATTCTAGGGGATTTTAACCCCATTAGAAATGTGGGGGAAAAAGAGAGTGGATCCTTGTGTTGGAAGCCACATTGTGGAGAGCTCGATGAGTTGTGTAGAGTGGTGGAAATGGATGACCTTACGTATATAGTTAATTTTTTCACATGGAACAAGAAAGGGGGGGTGCTTCTAGGAGAATTATGTGTAAGCTTGATCATGTGTTGGATAATGAAAAATGTGGTCTTTGTTTTCCTTCTTTCTTTTTTACTCTCCTACCCTCGGCTATTTCTGAAACTTGTCTTATGGTGCTAGATTGTGGGTTGGTGTCTCAAGTGAGAAGAACCCCTTCTAAATTCTTTAATTTTTAGGCTAATGATGACTCATTTATTCTGTTGGTTGAAAAAGTTTGGAGAATGGAAGTGGAAGGCAACCGTATGTTTAGATTAATAGCCAAACTAAAGGCATTGAGATAT